GGCCCATATTGATAGGATAGCGTCTTGCAGTTGATGGAGATTTGTGGGATGCACATCCAGGGCACGAAGCTCCCGTTCCACCACATCCCAAAGATGCTCTATTGGGTTGAGATCTGGTGACTGTGGGGGCCATTTTAGTACAGTGAACTCTTTGTCATGTTCAAGAAACCAATTTGAAATGATTCAAGCTTTGTGACATGGTGCATTATCCTGCTGGAAGTAGCCATCAGAGGATGGGTACATGGTGGCCATAAAGGGATGGACATGGTTAGAAACAATGCTCAGGTAGGCCGTGGCATTTAAACGATGCCCAATTGGCACTAAGGGGCCTAAAGTGTGCCAATAAAACATCCCCCACACCATTACACCACCACCACCAGCCTGCACAGTGGTAACAAGGCATGATGGATCCATGTTCTCATTCTGTTTACGCCAAATTCTGACTCTACCATCTGAATGTCTCAACAGAAATCGAGACTCATCAGACCAGGCAACATTTTTCCAGTCTTCAACTGTCCAAGTTTGGTAAGCTCTTGCAAACTGTAGCCTCTTTTTCCTATTTGTAGTGGAGATGAGTGGTACCCGGTGGGGTCTTCTGCTGTTGTAGCCCATCCGCCTCAAGGTTGTGCGTGTTGTGGCTTCACAAATGCTTTGCTGCATACCTCGGTTGTAACGAGTGGTTATTTCAGTCAAAGTTGCTCTTCTATCAGCTTGAATCAGTCGGCCCATTCTCCTCTGACCTCTAGCATCAACAAGGCATTTTTCGCCCACAGTACTGCCGCATACTGGATGTTTTTCCCTTTTCACATCAATCTTTGTAAACCCTAGAAATGGTTGTGCGTGAAAATACCAGTAACTGAGCAGATTGTGAAATACTCAGACCGGCCCGTCTGGCACCATCCTTCAGAGAGCACTGAAGCCAATTGTCTGATTGGCCAGTGAATTTAACAGTCAAGCAGCCTATATGTTGGGGCTCAGGGTCAGGGAGGCCTGCTAAGGCCAGTGCCTGACCGTCAACACTGCTGCTGGCTGTGTACCCCGTCACTCGAAAACTCATTTGTGGATTTGAGAGGACTATTCAGCCTGAAGCACGCCAGTGCTGTCAGCCATCTACCCATACTGCTGGGAACTCGCTTTCAGGGAGGCCTGGTAGGGCCTACTAGCTGATAGCAAGTCTACACAACACCGTATTGGAACCATACTACACCAACACAAATATTGGGGCCACCCACAGGAGGCTTATTGAGGCTGGTTACCTGGTCACAGCTATAATGTATGTGCCACAATGTTGGGACTCTCTTCCGATGAGGCCTGTTAAGACCTACTACCCGTCAGTGAGTCTACTGCCCGGACGACTAAGGCCAACCACCTGAGGCAAGCTGGCCTAAAGTTTTTTGTTTTTTTGTCACAATAGATCCAGACTGAGAGGCAGAGGTGAGCGAATCCAAAACAAGTATTTATTGAACATTCAATGTGGAAATAATGCTGTAAGTAATAGCACAGTCAGACATTTCATTGATAGCGATGACAATAGTAACTCAGTCTTTTGTGTTAAGAGGTAGTTGCTGAGTTCTGGTGGAGATGGGAATAGTGTTTACTGAAGAGAACACACCACAGGATGAGCACGGTAAGTATTAGGTGAGTATATCCACAAAGGTATAGCTAGAGTTTTACAGGAAATATTGCTGAAGGAAAAACCGAGATCACTGGAATTCAATAAGGGAGATTGCTGGAGACTTACAAGCCAAACTACCTTGGTAAGCAGTGGCGGTTCTAGCCCATTTCAACTGGGGGGGCCAAGCTGGGGCCAGTTGTACTGTTAGAGGGGCCAGTTACATTTAGACCTTATTGTTGTCATATCATTTTCTGCACTGCTGCAGGCATTAACAGGGAAAATACCGTGTTTATAATCATTCAACAATGTATTTGCATTTCCATTATATTTTTACATTTGCATTACATATTCAGTATTAGTCACAGTAACTGTAATAGACATGATGTCCTTCTTTCTCTTCATTTTGAGAACTATAGAGCAAAAGCAATGGGGACCAAGAAGCTTATTAATTCATTTACTGAAAATAACTGACTTGATATGTCTAACCGTTTACAGGGTTCCTGCACACTTTTTAGAGTCCAATTTAAGGCTTTTTAAGACCTAAAGAAATCAAAATTAATACCGTACATTAGAGGTGTGCAATATTGACAAAAATATATTTCAACATTTTCAACATTTTGTTAATAATTAGATAATATTTTACTGATTGTGTTTTTGTGCTGGTGCCATGGCTGGTTTAGGCCTGTTGTTGACAGCTGACTCACGAAGATATTAATATTTTTCATATTCTATGCAGTGGTCGATTCACAGCAGTGACAGAAATACATTTTTTAATTAAGGGGCAATTTTTGCCACCTTAAATTGATTTCCAGGGGCATTTTCACCTATATATGGACATTTTTTCTAAACTTATTTAGAGTTATGCATCACCTTTTATGTCAAATACTAACATTCAAATTATACAGTAATTATACTTATTTATACAATAATACTTAATTATACAATAATTATACAGTACCACTGTTACCAGTCAAATTAATTAATTCAATCAAAATCCATCTTTGCAGTGCAGAGGTGACACAGAAGTGGCATTAATATATTTACACTCCATTTACAATTGCATAAATAAAGCTATGAGATTTTTTTCAAATCAATATTTAAATATGAAATTATTTCTAAGTTTAACGTTTTAATTAAAGGATACTTTAAATATGAAACTAAAACCGCCAGTAGGCGGCGGCAAGTCCCTGTAAGAGGGATTCATTCATTCAAACGATTTGTTCAAACGGCCGATTTATTCGGGAAAGAAGCAAGTGATTCGTTCAAAACGCGGATTTCAGTCAAGAAATCATCGCTGTGTTGCATTGAGACTCACTACGGTTTCATTATGAAATTCTAGTCGGCGAAATAAAGGGAAAACAAACAATATTGACAATATTGTGTCTAAAAAGTAACTCCCAATGTTAACTTATTGTTAATTTAACTGTTGTATAACATAAATATCACAGTTGCAATTGTGCACGGGAAAACGGCACTCTTGCTGATGTGATATTCTAATATAAGAACATAATATGATATAAATATAAGACAAAAACTAATTTGGGGACATAGCCTACCTATGAACTGCACACAGCAGTGAAAGGACGATAGACAAATGCTATGTCAGCTCACAGTGCCTCGTACATACCGTGAAACTTCAAATAATAGCCGAGTCCCGAATAGACGCCTGTCTCTTTTACACGCCTGGTGTGGCGACAGGTTTGGGTACATAAAGGCCGGTCTCAAATAGAAGCCGGGTCTGTTTTTAGTTTCGGGTTGTATTTTATCTTCTAAAACCCGTCAGAGCGTCCGCTTGCTGCGCTTGACAGTGCATAACGAGCAGAGAGAGAGAGAGAGAGAGAGCGCCCCGGCCGCGCGCGCGCACTCACCTCTTCAAACATTCTGCCGCGATTCCCGCGAATGTGATGCGAATTGTCACGTGAAAATGCAAATCCACAAAGATAGAAAAATAAAAAAATAATACACATACAACGATAGCAAAAAACAGTTTTGTAAAAATTATTTCAAACTCCACATTTAGGGGGGCCACAAGGGGGGCCAAGCTTTTTGTCACAGGGGCACTGGCCCCCCTGGCCCCCCCTCTAGAACCGCCACTGTTGGTAAGTAGAGCAGGTAAGTTGTCTGTATCTTTTTGCAAAGCCAGACAAGGAGTGACTGAAGGGCTGTGTTCGAAATCATCCCCTATACCTTCATGCACTATTCCCTACTTTACTCCACTAATAGAGTTTACTTGAAGGAGTGGCTGATTGAATTCGGACACTGAGTGCTTTTGTAAAGTTTGTGCTTGCTGTTTAATAATCATTTGAAACTTAGCATACTGGCAGCTCCAGTAGTAAGATGAAAAGATTTATCTTGAACTCTGTCATATAAACTAGTCAAGTCACCTTTATTTATATAGCGCTTTTTACAATACAGATTGTATCAAAGCGCAAAAACTAGCATATATAAACCTTGATTAAACTATTTAATAATCAAGTAAAAAGGAATGTATACCTGTATGATATTACACTGTAGCCACATTGGACCAGTGGTTTGGAAAATGGATGGATGGATGATTGAGCTGCGGGCGATATCTTTTGGTCACACGCAGGAATTGATTTGGCACGTGACTCTCACAGTGCATTATGGGTATTCTCTAGCCGTTGAGCGTACATCGGTTGTACACTCGTTACTGGTGTGCGTTGTGGGATTGAATGAGTGCACTCGGTAACGTCCACTATGGTTTCGCACACTACTTCAGATGGCTGTCCCCTCAAATAGTACTCTTTCGGACACAGCCACAGGGTGTGCATTGAGTGCAGTGCTGATGAGGTGCAGGTGCAGGTGATTAGTAATCGGGTGTGTGACTGAAGAGACTGGTGTCTCCACTAACTAACTCAATTTAATATAGAATATATAATTTAGTAATGAGAACTCTTTTTAAAAGTGTGTGTGGCGAGCAGGACGAGGTCGAGAGCCATGAGAGAACGGCGCGAGGCCGATGGCGTGATTGATAATGAGCGACACCTGTGCAACGCACCGGTCTCGTATCTCTCACGGAGGAGCGGAAGCATAAAGGATGAGCGACGACAGGGAAGATAGAGAGAGGAACAGGCTTGGTCTTGTGTTTTGTTTTATCATATGTGTCTTTTACTTTCGTTTTGTATTTGTTTTATTTTGTTATTAAAGTCTGTTGATTGTTCGCCAGATCCTGCCTCCTTCTTCAACTAACCTCGTTACAGTGTGCTTTGTAAAAGTTTACTTTTCCTTCACAATAAAATGTAATTTTGACTATGAAGACTTGTTAATTTTACAAGATTGTCAAATGCAAGTGCAGATTGTCTTGATTTTGTGTGTAATGTTTTTTATGGCTGCTGTAGAAAAAGTAGCTGAATTCTCACCAGGTGCTGCAGGTACATTTGCTTCTCCTGTCTGATCTACATTTAAAAAGAATGCAGATAAAAAAAAAAAACAGATTAGATCATTAAGTTATAAAACCAGAAAAGTGTCATGCCATCACAGTAACAATGCACTTCATTGGTTGCATTTTCTCAGGACTGAAACCTGTTTCCTGGTAATCTCCAAGATCATTAACCAACGTCCCGCCATCAAAAATGCAGAACAGCTTAATGTAATATGTATACACTTGACCGTTGCAATGTGTCATGCACTTTTATGAATTCAGATGTTTTTTTATTAAAATGGTTAAACTAAGGGTAATCACTTACCTTGCAAAAACATGATGAGAAATTAATGTTTGTCTGTAATGAAACACAATAACAAGAAAACAATAGAATTTCATTGTGAGTTCCCATCCGTAACTCTACGTTTTTGAGCTGCCACTATAGCAGAGAAATGCAGTCTATTCACATTATTTTGATAAACTAAATCTCAAAAGTACTGAATTGACGGTTATGCCCATAATTATTTGAACTACTTGCTGAGGTTTTGCACAACAATAAAACATTGATCAAAACTGTGAGTAACATAAATTATTCATGTATTCTGTCACTAAAGTTCCTGAGGGTGTCAATTGGGCTGAAGGATTTTAGCGTATTGTGTTACACAAAGGGCAATTACCACTATCTCTACATTTTTTTAAAGAGAAAAATAGAGAGATCACACTGTTATGTATATAATATATTGGGAATATAGGCTGTACAAACTGACTTTTTTTTATAAAAATTTTTACGTGTTTTAAGTGATCGGAAGCTCTGGACAGGCACTCGGCTCAGCTCGTAATTTGTCTCACTCTATAGAGTTCTTCTGGGTTGATGTATTTTTGTAGGTCAAAACCCTGAAACTACTTAGCATTATAGCACTTCTGGTTTTGTCGTCTTGAAGGCAAAGATATTTTCATGTTTTATTCTATGACATAAAATACATCGGTAATACCCTCTTGTGAATTTTACATATTTTTTACTTTAAAGGTCCCTAACAAAAATGGGACTAGAGAGGTTGTCGGGGACATTAAACATCACTAGCCGAACAGGTAAACTCATCTAGTCCACTTTCACAGCCTGGTGTTATCACGCTCTTGCAAATTATTATAACTCAAACTTTCAGGGAAAATGTTTTTATAGAAAGACTGAAGAAATTGTCAGCTTAATGATCGTGACTTTGAAGTCATGTGACCGTGGTGTAGTTTTTACTTCTGCTAATTGTTTTTAGGTTTCAACATTTATAAAAGTTGAGTTCATTTGTGAAATTATCATGATGAACAAAATATTCAAAACATAAACTTTTGTTAATCGCAGAAGTTATTTTCTGCAATACTCCCATTGGAAAAATCCTATTGGGGTTTTGTCTAGAGAACCAGGGTGATGTTAATTTCTGGGCTGGCCTACAAAAATATGTCATCAGTCTATTCGGGATCAATATGTACTCATGTTAAAAACTCAAAGAAGTTTTACATTTTTTAAGTATGTCTAGAATTCTTTCAGCCAAACTATTACGCACTTCTATAACTTGAGACCAATGGTACACCTGAGCAGAACAAAGGTGTTTCTTATTAAAAACCCAAAAATGGAAAAAAGCAACAAAATGTTAAAAGACATTCATCTAGCACATGTTCACATATAGGAAACTGCCTTTGTAAAAATGTCACAGTCTGTAAGCTTACTTACCAGATTGAATGATGATAGCACATTGAAGGTTCCATCATTACAAGTATGTTTGTCTGGCGTGGAAATTTGTTATTCATACACTCGTTGTTGTCTGTCAGTATTCTCTTTTGCATTAATTGGAATTGTACCTCCGGACATAAAAAGGCAATGACTTTGCAAACTCTTTTGTCTGACATATTGTGAAGTATCAAGACACCAGTGATACTCTACACTCCTGGAGAACACGAGGTTGCCAGGATACTGACTGTCAACAATATACCCCATGCAAAAACATGGCTCTTTGTTGGTGCTTTAAAGGGATAGTTCACCCAAAAATTTAAATTACCCCATTATTTACTCACCCTCAGGCCATCTTATGTGTAAATATCATTCTTCTTTCAGACTGATACAATTGGAGTTATATTAAAAAATGTCCTGGCTAATCCAAGCTTTATAAAGGCAGTGAAGGGGAGCCCAAAATTTGAAGCCCAAAAAAGTGAATCCCATTATAAAAGTAATCCACACAGCTCCGATGGGGTTAATGAAGCGAAGCGATGTATTTGTGTAAGAAAAATATCCGTATTTAAAACTTTATCAACTAAAATAACTAGCTTCTGACAGACGGAGTGATAAGGTTCACTCGCGTTAGTTAATAATCCTGTAATCCAATAATCCTGAAATGCCCTATAGTCAGAATCTTTCTCCTTCAGCGCAAAGATTATCTCGCTGCTCCGAAGAAGACTTAAGCTTAATTCAACTCACTAAAACAACTTGAATAAATATAGAAAACAATAATATTATAATAAAATATTTGATTTTCTCACTAGGGTGTAATGGAGTAATCCAAACATGTCATAGAGCAATGCTTTACACCGTGTAATGCCATACACCATAATGCAGCATCTTGACCTGAACAAGTTTTAACCTATAAAATATTGTCATCACATAACATTATAAACACTACATAGCTAACAATAAGGTTGATGACGGGGACATGTTAGTCCAACATTCTCTGTAAATAGTGGGAAAATGCCCTTCAGATGCAACTTCTGTCACCTCTGCAAAGAGTTTTTGTTGATATTAGTTTTATTAGAAAAAAAACACATCGTGTATTATTATTCAATGTGAATTTATAAAAAATTCAATTTATTACATTTATTATAGTGATTTTTATTGAATCTGACACAGATATGACTATAAATGTGAAAATACTCTTAATTTCTTTATTTATCGTTCAACGCGTTAGTTTTGATATGTTCTTGTAAAAGAGCATTTTCTGTATCATATTTTATTATAATGGATATTTAATATTACCTCCAAATTTTGACTGACAGTAACTGGTAACATTATGTCTAAAAATGTAAGTTACTCAATATTAACTTGATGCTTATTGAACCATTGTATGCAATAAAACAGTTGTGGCAACATGACATCATTATGGGTGACTCATTGAATCGATCACTAATGGGTATATCAACAGACTTTGCTTTGAAATAATTTAGAACTGTACAAAAGTAACTGGCAATAATTGTTGTTATGTTAGCTCTTGTTTATTACAGTTGTAAAAAAAAAAAACAGTTTATTGAACTGTTGTATAAAACAACCATGATGTTGGTCTGAATCAGCATCCTCTCGCTTGTTTAATATTCCTAAAATATGACTAAACTGTACAATTGACCATTGCAATGTGTCATGCACTTTTCATGAATTCAGATGGTTTTTTATAAATTGGTTAAATTATGGGTAATCACTTACCTTGTAAAAACATGATGAGAAAATAATGTTTGTCTGTAATGAAAGACAATAGCAAGAAAACAATAGGATTTCATTGTGAAGATTATCTTGCTGCTCTGAAGAAGACTGAAGCCTCGCCCTCCTCACCTCTTCTAGCTGTTGAATGTGCCTCGCAGCCTGTAATTCAACCAATTTGAAACCAATGAAATCCTATTGCCACTCGACTGAGGGCATGGCAGGCCATCCCTGGAGTGTCAAGCTGGATTTTGGGGATAATAGAACGAGGTTACTCGCTCCAATTCGCTCGCAGACCATCCCCTCTTCATGGGCGACCTTTCAGGATGTTAACTGTGAAACAAATCGTGCAAATTCGCCCCAGGGATTGGTTTATATCAGTGGATCTGAAAGACGCCTACTTTCATATCCACATGGCCCCCATCACAGACAGTTCTTGAGATTTGCGTTCGAGGGGGTGGCATGACAATATACAATCCTTCCATTCGGACTCTCTCTAGCTCTGCATACTTTTACGAAGTGTGTAGACACGGCTCTTTTCCCTCTTTCCTCTGAGACAGATGGGAATCCGCATACTCAACCATCTCAACGATTGGCTGCTTATAGCACCCACATATCCCAGCTCCTCAGCCATCTGGAGAACCTGGGCTTCAGGGTCAACTTTGGAAAGAGCTCAGTCAAACCATTAAGGAGGTCTCAGGTCTCGCCCTCTGCACAGACTGGCGAACCATCTTCTCCTATGGGCACAGAGGAACCTCCACTCAGTGAGGAGCAACGAAGGAGCAGACATGCTGTCGTGGCGGACTGGGCCTGGGGAATGGAGACCCCTACCCCAGGCAGTCAATGTGATATGGCGCACCTTCGCTCAGGCGGATGTGACTGAAGAGAACTCCCACTGGCAGATATACTTCTGGAAGGAAATGGATGTGTTGGCTTAGAAATGACCTCGTCTGTGCTTTTACGCCTTACCTCCTGTAGACCTACTTCCGCAGGTCATCAGTCAAATCCAGGATAAAGCATGTGCCGTTCTTCTGGTGGCACCATGCTGGCAGAGCCAGCCTTGATTCCCAGAATTGGTCCAGCTACTAGCTCCGTGGCCCATACTGCTAAGAAGAGACCTTCATGATTTTGCACCCCCAACCAGGGATGCGTTTCCCGAAAGCATCGTTAGCCAACTATGTTCGCAAGTTCCGTCGTTACCAATAGAGTTCAATGGAAATTGCAACCAACTTGCGACCAGAGTTGGCTAACGATGCTTTCGGGAAACGTACCCCAGAGATGTGGAACCTGCATGTTTGGTCAGGCCTTCCCCAGTAAGTGATAAAAATGATCTCGGAAGTGAGGGCCCCTTCCACAACTGTTCTTACAATTCTGCAGGAGATGCTGGATGCTGGGTGCGCCCCCTCCACATTCAAAGTATACGTGGTGGTCTTTGCGGCAAATCACACCCCGGTGGGTGGCCAATGGATTGGGAACCACAACCTGGTCGTTACGTTTCTCAGGGAAGCTAGGAGGTTGAATCCTCCCCGCTCGTGTTCGGTCCCGTCATGGGACCTCTCCATGGTCCTTGGAGAGGACCCTCCGGGACCCTCCCTTTGAGCCGCTCGAGTGAACTGACCTTCAGTCCCTCTCGCTTAAGACTGCCCTCTTGCTGCATCTAGCATCAGTCAAGCGAGTTGGAAGTTGGAGCAGGCTCTGTCTGTGGAACCTTTATGCCTTGATTTCGGTCATGACAACTGTAAAGTGGTCCTCAGGCCGAGAATAGGCTACATGCAAAAAGTGCTTTCCATCCCCGTTCAGAACACAGGTGATAGCACTGTCAGCTCTTCTGATTGCGTAGAACGAGCAGGCAAGCCATCCACTCTGTCCCGTCAGGGCCCTTAGAGTGTATATTGAGCACTCTAGCCGATTTCAGCAATCAGAGCAGCTGTTTGTCAGCTTCGGAGGCCGCACTAAGGGGCTGCTGGTCCCTGGTTCCCTGAGATAATGGAATGAACATTGCGTAGCTGCCGTGCTACTACGCTGCACAGCGAGTCATGCTAGACACTCCTCAGTTGAAAGATTCTGACGATTGGACATTTCTGCATGGCTTATATAGCCAGCTAACCCTGCCCCTTTCGGCAGGCATGAACCAAATTAGGCTTCAGGATTCAGAGAAAACTGAGTTTTACCCATAACCGTTGAATGAAATAATGCAATGCTTGTTCCCGTTATCTCAGGGAACCAGGGTTACGTGAGTAACCATAAACGTTTTTTTTTTTTTTTATAAACGTTGCTCTGCCCGGCACATAGACCCCATCTCTTGTGGGATTGCTTCTATTTTGTCTTTTCTTCAGGAGCTGTTGGATGGCAGGTGCACCTCATCCATGATCAAAGTGTACACTGCAGCTATAGCGACGTACCACGTTCCTATAACTAGCCAGTCAGTTGGGAAACACTACCTGGTGGTCAGACTTTTCAGAAGGGCCAGAGAGCTCCCCAACACAGTACCTACCTGGGACCTGTCTATTGTCCTGAGGGCGCTCCTGGGCCCTCGGTTTGAGCTGCTCGCAACAGCTGACCTTCGGCCTCTCTCGCTTAAGACCGCCCTCCTGCTGGCTCTGGTGTCGGCCAAGCTAATTGGTGACCTACAGGCTCTTTTTGTGGGTGCTTCCTGCCTCAAGTTTTTGGCCAAAGTTGTCCTTAAGCCCAGACCAGGCAGTGTGCTTAAGGTGCTTTCCACGCCTTTTAAGGCTCAAGTCATCTTGCTCTTTGCCCTCCCCTTTACCGAAGGTGAGCAGGTACCACACCCACTTTACCAGGTTCGGGCCCTTAGGGTCTACATTGAGCGCTCTAGCCAATTCAGGCAAACAGAGCAGCTGTTTTGTGTGCTTCTGAGGCTGCTCTAAAGGGCTGCCAGTTAGGAAGCAGAGACTGTCCCACTGGATAGTGATAGTACTAGCTTACAAGTTCTCAGAAGGGCCCATTCCACCAGGGGAATGGCCTCATCTTAGGGTTGGTCTAGTGAAATATCTATTGTTGATATCTGTGCGGCGGCAGACTGGTCCTCGCCGTTCACTTTTGCCAGGTTTTATAACCTAGACGTCCCTACTCTTCAGGCCAGATCCTTTCTGCCAAGTTGACCAGGGGTTTTTCCCTAAGTGATACAATTCTTGGAGGCTCCGGTCCCAAACCCAAGCCTGCCCCTCTTTTCAGACATACATTGTCCCTGACTCTAGTAGCTTGCCTGTGATAAAATAAACAAATGGTATCATGAGTCAACTTGCTTGGATATCAAGGACAATTCACACACAGATTACTGATAATGCTGAAATGTGTATTTCTCAACTCAAACATACAATCTAGCAACAACAACAACTAGAAATGCAGTATTTTCTAATCAAAATAAAAATTTTACTAAATTAAATAACAACTAAATCTTTACATTACTGCAAACTTGTTATTTTCCCAATAGTACAGCTAAATAAAATAAATAGAACACTAAATAAGAAAATAC